AGGAGGACGAGCGCGGGCAGCAGCTTGCTCTTGGGCCCCGGTGCCTGCACCCAGGCCGTGATCTGCCTCCCGCACCAGTCGGCAAAGTTGTACACCAGGAAGCTCGCCAGCGGCACGAAGTACTTGCCGGTCCACGGGCTGCCCGAGGACCTGTCCACGGACTCGATGTTGGAGGAGAGCGACGGGAAAACGATGATGGAGATGAAGAAGACGTAGAAGACGCAGAAGCCGAGCACGGCAGTCTTCCTCAGGATGGGCCGCAGCGGGGGGATATCCCGAGCACCGGTCCCTTTGGCTGAAAAGTTGTTGTCCACGTCTCCTTGGGAGCCTTCCTCTTCAGAGCTGCTGGGCAGCCCTGCTGCTGGGTGTGGGCTCTCCTTGCGCCTTCGCAGGTAGTACCTGGAAGAGGAGCGGAATCATTAGCCAATGGCTAGAAATCATGGATTCAGAGAGGAAGCTGCAGGGTTTTTGGGGCAGAAAACACCGTTATTGGTGTCAGGTGGGCACCAATATCCAGGTGGGGTGGAATGTACCTGGAGTACTCCAGCCTGGGAAGCAGCAGGTAGACCATGATGCAGACGACGATGAAGATGTCCGCCGTGAGGAAGTAGGCCAGGGCGCTGTCGGTGACGTCGGCCGCCGCCGCCAGGTCGATGACGGAGGCGACGGCGCTGAGCGTGCCGCCCATGGCCTGGCCTGCGGAGGGGACAGCGCTGGCGCCACAGAGGCGGCCACGTAACCCCATAGCCCCTCCACGAGACGGGAACGCGGTGGTGGACGTCACCCGGAGCAGGAGCAGCATCTCCCCACACCTGGGCACAGCAGCTTCACTCACTGCCTCTCCTCTGCCCACGGAGGTGCAGAGTCCTGCAGAGGACAAGGCCTGAACCTGCCCCAAACCCACGCCCATCTCTCCACCACCTTCTCTTCATCCCCGTCCCCAAGCCACCGGCACCAAGGCTCATCCYCTTCTACCAAGGGATGCAGCAATGTCCCCCATGGGTTAAACTCATTAAAACAGCCCTGTCTTGGCCTGGGGAAAATGTTTCTCTGTCTCCGTCTTGGTTTYTCTCCACTCCCCTCGTTTCCCTGCCGGTTTCTCAGCCGTTCTCCAGCACATTTATAATGTTATCAGCACCAGGCAAAGCTCCGGGGAGCTCATCACTCATGGCTCCCAACGTGTCCCTCGTCACTCATGGAAATGAATGTAAATGCCGAGCAAAAAAGGGGAGAAAACACAAACTTTGGGAGTTGCCACGGTGCCAGCATGGGCACTGCAGGCCAGTGTCTCCTCCTCGCCTTCCCCATGGAAAAACCACGGGATCCCACCCATTCCATGGGATCCAGGTGCCCGAGGGACATTCAGCCCCGGGATAGGGGCTCCCCTTTGCTCTGCAGAGACCCCTTAGCCCTTCTTTTAGTGGAACTCGGCAGCTCACTGGGTATTTACAGAAGCAGTTCATGTGACTGACCATGTTTTAGGCAGCAACTTCCCTTTAGCTTAGCCCACAAGCTTTTTTTTTTYYTTTYCYTTTTTTTTTTTTTTTTAAGGCAAAGTTAAATTTCTAAAATAGACACCACATGACGAAATATCCATGCGAGGCAAAACAGAAAACCCAACGGGGCAAAGAAACCTCCAACAGGAGCCCAGCAAGTCGCAGCACGAAGCAGAGCCCCATCAAGGACCACGCAGGCGAGGTTGCCACCTCCTGGAAGCAAAAAACCTACCGGAGATCAAGGCCTGGGAATTCTTCATGGGGAAGCGGCTCGTGAGGCCGAAGATGCTGCTGGAGAAGACGGTGGAGGCGCTGCTGACCACCACGACGCACACGATGGTGATGGCGAAGAAGCGCGTGGTCCAGGCCGACGTGTCCACCTTCACCAGCACCGTGATCACCAGGAAGACGGCCAGCATCACGAAGAGGGAGGACAGGATGCGGACGCTGGCGGGCACCCTAGGGAGGGACGCAGGGGTCTTCCTGCAGCTTCTCCTCGCTGTTTTTGGGTGCTCTGCGGCTACGCTATCGGGCAAAAGACATTTGGCACCTACCTGTTGAGAATCAAGAAGTTCCCCACCAGGCAGAGCACCGAGGGCACCGTGGAAGCGATGGAGATGTAGCTCTCAAAGAAGTCCTGCAAAGAAAGAGACGAATAAATAGATGAAGGATGAACAGGAAGATGTTCATCTTCCTATTAGACAGATGAATAGATGGTCAAGGAAGAAAAACACACCCAGGACACATCCCCCAGCCTGTCTGCACAGACAGCTTTTTTCTCCTGAAAAATCCCCACCAGCAGCTAGAAGGGTCCTTGAGGCACAGGTGGCTGGGCAACCCCCAGGCTCCAAAAAAAAAAAAAAAAAAGAAAAAAAAAGAAAAAAAAAAGCAATTTAGGTCCATGGCAGCAGCTCGAGGTGCCGGAGCGTTACCTGGCTTGCAGGGCATGAAATTAGCAGCCACGAGCTTGCAGGCCAGCACCTTGGAGTGAGGTGCCAAGAACCCTCCCAGGGGGACTTTTCTCCTCCCACTTATAGGAGGAAAAAAAAAAAAAAAAGAAAAAAAAGGAAAAGAAAAAAAAAAAAGAAAGGAATTTTAATGGGCTTCTGCGATTGCTCCATGTTCTGGCACGCCACCAAGGCGGTAAACAACCCCGGCGAGAGGAAGGCCGGGAAGCAAAACACGGATCGGGTCGGGAGAGGGCAGCATGGCCTAGGGAAGYGATGCCCAAAAAGAAGGCGGATGAGCTCGGGCCACGAAAACCCCCTTGTCCCTGGGGACACACCGGGAGGTGGGTGCTTAGATGCTGTGGAGCATCCGGGAGATGGGTGTTTAGGCGCTGTAGAGCATCCGAGCGGGTCGGGACCATCCCAAGCCCATTGCTCTTCATTGCCACCGTGACCGGAGCAGCGGGGGACGAGGCGGGCGGCCTCACACTCACACGGAGGTCGGTGGCTCCGCGCGCCGCCGGCCCGGGCTGCCCGGAGCAGTTCTGCAGCTTGAACGCCCAGTACTGCTTGGCCGTGATGAAGAAGTTCCAGGGGAGCAGGGAGCCGATGCCCAGGATGAAGAAGATGATGTAGGCCCCGTTGAGGCGGTCGCCGGGCTTCGGGCCGCTCCATGCATCCGGCGACGGCTCCTCGAGCAGCGGCTCCTCTTCCAGGGGGGAGCTGGGGGCCGGGGGCTGCATGGAGGTGTCGGGCACCCGTGTCCCCCCGCTGCCGCTGCGGGACGAAGGCGGAGAGCGACATTACGGGGTGCTCAGTGGGGGCTGCGGGGTGYCCACGGGCCGCATTCCGCCCCACCGGACGCCTGGGCCCCTTCCAGCGCGCCTAACCATTAACCCAGCCGCTCGGGCTCGCTCCAGCGGCCGCGCTGCCCCTCGCCGCGGCCTCGGGCCCTGTGCTGGGCCCCGTCTTACCGTCGGGGGCCGCGAAACACCCCCGGAACCGCCGCGGCCCCGCGGGCTCCGCTACCGCCGAGCGGCTCCCGACGGCGCGCCGGGAAGGGGCGGCCGGGAGCAGGGCGGGAAGGCGGGGGGGGAAAAGGCGAATCCCGTCCGGAAAGCAGGGATTGGGCAGGAAAAGGCGATCTAGGGCACCCCTTCCGCCCCCGCCGGCAAGCACCGCTCCGCCCCGCCGGGGGCGGCCCGCGGGCGGTGCCGGCCGGGCCCGCGGCCCGCCCCGTCGGGGGAGGGAGCCCCGGGGATGCGCCGTGCCCCGGGGATTCCCGTGTCCCGGGGATGCGCCGTGTGCCGGGAATGTGCCAATGCCTGTGTGCCGGGGATGCGCTATTTTCCGGGAATGCGCTGTGTCCCGGGAATGTGCCGTGTCCCGGGAATGCGCCGTGTCCCGGGAATGCGCCATTTTTCGGGAACGCGCCTTGTCCTGGGGATGAGGTGCCATGGGGAGGCTCGGCAGGAGCGCCGGGGCTCCCTCCCCAGGTTTCTCCTCGGGATTTTGCCTCCGCACGGACGCGCCCGAGTGTAAGCGCACACTGGGGAGACGGCTGCAACCCGCCCGCTCCGAGGGATGCGCCTGGTATTTCCGCCCCGCCGCGGCCCATCATGTCAAATAATGCACCGTGCGGGAAGAAGCCTGGCATCGGAGCAAGGGAGCGTGACAGGCGCCCCGGATAAACAACATGGGTGCCTAGTTAAGCGGAGCTGCCATGGCGCCTGGGGGGACCTTATCCATTATCCATGCTCGAGAGGCATCCCGCAACACGGAGCCGGCTTTGGGAACAGCCACGTGCTCCAAGGGCTGCGGGCAAGAGGAGCTCCTGCTCTCCCAAGGAGCCTTGGAGGCTGCACAAAATCCCTGCTGGGGCCAAACCCAGCAGGAACGGGCAAAGCAATTAAGACAAGAGGAAGCAGCAGGTTTTGTTTAACTTCTTTTTTTTTTTTTTTTAATTAGACTAGGAAATATAATTTATTGCATAAAAATTAATTTGTTACAAGAGGAAGGCTAAACTTTATTTACAGGCCTTTAGTTTACAGAGTAAAGGGGCCCGTCCCTGTGCACATAAATATGGAAACAGGCCACAGAGCAAGAGGACAGACACTGCCAGAGGCACCCGGGGTGGCCTTGCTGAACCTTCTTACCCCTTCCCATCCATCGCCCAACTTCTCCGTTGCTGTAGAGGTTGATTATGGGGGGAAAAAAAGGGAGTATATGGGCAAAGGACTGAATTCTTTGGTTTTAAGGTCTCTCCGTGAAGGCGCATCCGTCTTGCAAGGCTCCCCCGCTGCACCAACGCATGCCTGTGCAAAACACGGACCCGAGTGACTGGCTCGCCGCGGCGGCGAAGGAAGCCCCTCGCTGAACCCGGGTTTTACGCAGCCTGATCACGCACTTCCACTCCAAAAACGTGGTCGTTCACATCTCTCATCTGCCGCTCTGACCGTAACGATGCTCTTGCTCTCACACACACAAAAAGATTTATAAACCTGTCTTTTTCTATTTTTTTCTTTTTTTTTTCCTTTTTTTTTTTTCCCCTTTTTTCTTTTCTTTCTTTTTTTTTCTTTTTTCTAAAAAGGTCTCATCCAAAGATCTGGATAATAAATTACTAGCGTTTCCTAAGAAACTGTTTTTTTGTTCTTGTTTTCCTTTTTCTTTCTTTCTTTCTTTCTCGTGTGCCATATTAAGCTGTCCGAAGCTCCTGGCAGGAGTAAGTGTCCTCTCTAGCTCGCACCGCTCTCTTCCCCCCATGTGGACGCTGTCGAAGAAGGAGGGGAACTGAAGGGAAGGGGGACCCGCACCAATGAAAGGAGAAGGAAAGCCCTCGACTCGAGAAGCCCTGAGCCCTCCCCGCGCCGCTGGGAGGAAGAGGAGGAGGAGGAGGAATGCTGTGTAACACTTGAATTGCTTGTAAACGCTGAGGCTCTAAGGCTGACAGTGATGCAGGAAGGGAGGACTGGGAGCCTTCCCTCCCCAGCAGTTTGGGAAGGGGCTKGCATCGGCTTTGTCCTCCCGCTCGTCCCTCCATGCCGTCCTCCTGGACCATGAGGAGCATCATCAACAGTCGCCCTCCGTGGCCATGACTACCAGCATCTCGCTCTTGCCCATCTCTTCTAAGGCACTGGCCAAGGTGTTGAGGTCACCGTCGTCTTGGTGCTTGGCTTCCCATAAGTCCAGGATCACCCCGGTGGGGCTGGCTTTGGTAGCAAAGTAGTTGAGATACCTGCGGAGAAGGAAGAGAGAGAAGGTCCTGGTTGGCATGAATATCCATGAGCCATGACACAAGTGCCTACCCGAAAGGTAGGTGAAGATGGACACCATAGAGGCACTCCATGAAGCCTGAGTCTGAGGGCAAAGCCCCTGTTGGCTGCCAGGATGGTGTYGGAGTGGACACACAGGTTTGGTGTCCGTTGCGGGAACGCACCGGTCCATGGAAAGCTTCTGGGCGAGAAGTCTCCAGTCATTTCCCCTGGAGTTGGGAGCATCCAGGCTGTTGCAGATCTTCTGCCGGATGGAGAGGGGGATTTTGAAGGCGTAGGGTCCCACTTGGGTGGTCACAGCACTGCTGTGGTGTGAATGGAGGCCATCAAAGGTGTTGGCATTCTGCAAGGGGAAAGACAAGATGAGATGTTATCACCTTGCAGGAGGGCTGAGGAAGAGGCTGTTTCTTCACTCCCCCAAGCATTCTTGGCYAACAAACATCCACTCTAGATGCGGTCTTCTGGGCGGTGAGGGATAACTACATGGACCGTGCCCCTCTGTCCAAACCTGGAGCAAAGCACGGCCACGTGGCCCTACCTTCCTTCATGGCTCACCTCTCCGAGCRTGATGTGGAGCTGGAAAATCTGCCCTTCCCCTTCCACCTGCCGCACGCAGATCTTGCAGGTGAGCTCGCAGGAGGCCTGGCTGTACCTCTCCAGGGTGAAGGTGCAGTGCAGGGCTCGCTGGCTGCCGCTCCAGATGTGGTAGAAGGGGATTTCCTGCGCATCAAACCGTGACCTCAGCCAAGCTTTGCAAACTCAGCAGAGGCTCTCCGGAGAAATCCCAGCTCCTCCCACGTTAGTAACAGACTTGGGGCCCTGCTCTCCTGGCTGCCCCAGCCCTCGGCTCCTCACCTGGTACTTGGCCAGCAGCTTGCTCCTCCACAGCGAGTGGGGAATGTCGTGGATGGAGAGGCGCAGGTTGTGGTAGCTGTCCTTGAACGGCAAGGGCTTGGGCTCCTCCAACAGGTAGCCACCCAGCGTCTTCTCCAGCTCCAGCACCTCCTGCAGGGCATAGGGAACCATGAGATGCAGGACCTGGGTCACTGCRGAGATGCACAGGCTGGTTTGCTCCTTTCTCCTGCTGCACTGACTGCGCTGTCCTCCCGAGCCAGGTCTATTTCTGCTTCATCCAGCACCAACGACAACAMGTGCTACAAGCCCTGTGAAGGCCTCCATCTACCCAAGGAATCATTGAATCATTATGGTGGGAAAAGACCTTCAAGGTCATCGAGATCATCAAAGAGCCCCAGAGCCCTGCTGTATCCAGTTCTAACACCACAGTAGCTCACGTTCCTCTTGTCAAGTCACATCTTGAGCTTTTGTGACTTGGTAGTCACCAAAGAGCCACAGGCCACTGTCGCTGTCTGCTGTGACATTACCTTCAGTGCATCTGGCGTGTCCTCCAAGCAGTAGACTTTGAGGCTGTACTCCAGGGAGGTGCAGATGGTGGGGGCAAAGATAGCCAGCTGGAGCCTCTTGATGGCTGAGCGAGAGTAGGGCTCTCCCACAAAGGCGTAGGTGCCAAGCTGGTCTAGCAAGACGTGGCAAGACTTCTCTTCCAGCTGGCAGTAACACGGAGTGTTGAGGGTCTCCTCATCAAGGGTCACAACTTCCTACAGGCAGAGACAGCCAAGTAAGGCCCCACCGTGGCCCTTTGCCCAGGGTGATTCCCTGTTGGTTACACGTCCAAATGTGCTCCTCTCAGGGCATCTTTTATGGAGCTCCATCCCCCGGGAGCCTGATGCCCAGCATCTATAGGAGGAGTCCACATCCCCGCTGCACGTCCTGCGATGGCCGTGTGTTCCAGGATTCTGCCTTACCTCCCAGGTGCCCTGGTGGGACTGCGTCTTCAGCTGGAAGAGCCAGTCTGAGGAGCTGACGTCGGCGCAGTGGGGAATGGTGAGCACGACGGGGCGGCACAGGAGCAGGCCCGTGGGCCCGCAGGTCACCGCGGGGCTCAGCGCCGTGGGCTGATGGCCTTCAGTGGGCAAGCTGGGGAGAGAGGGCAGCTCTTGGCTATAGGGACGGCAGCAGGTGACAAGGAGCATGGGCAAGGACCGGGAAAGGGGGTGTCTGATGAGGCCCACCACTGGGGAAGCAGGCCAACTCAATGGTGTGGGAAGGGGCTGTGCCATAGCTTGACGCCACCACCAAGGGGCCCGGCATGCAGGACTCACAGGGCGCTCTCCGCCTTGCTGAGGACCAGGTACATCTCGTAGAACTTGCCCTGAGGAATGGCTCCGTGCGGTACCAGCAGGCTCACCCCTAGCACAGAACACAGGCATGCCGTTAGCCACGATGAATCCAGCCTCCCTCTCCTCATTGCTATGTCCAGCTTCAGGTGGTGCAAGATGGAGCCAAGGGGCTGCCACCTGGCCACCAGATCTCTCCACCTCCCCTACCACCCAGCCATGAGCTCTACCCTCCTCCTTTACCAACCAGCCATGAGCTCTACCCTCCTCCTTTACCAACCAGCTGTGAGCTCTACCCTCCTCCTTTACCAAGCGACCACCAGATCTCCCCTACCACCCAGCCACCAGATCTCCTCACCTCCCCTACCACCCAGCCACTAGCTCTACCTTCCTCCCTCACCACCCAGCCACCAGCTCTACCTCCCTCCCTCACCACCCAGCCATCAGCTCTACTGTCCTCCCTTACCACCCAGCCACCAGCTCTACTCTCCTCCCTTACCAACCAGCCACCACGTCTACCCACTTCTTTAGCCCAGGACTTACCTGTGCCTGGGATACTGAGCCTCCCTCCGAGGTAGCCGAAGGTGCCACTGGCGCTGTTGCCATGTTCCCGGGGCAGGCTGAGGAACTGCTGGGAGCCCAGGGTCTTGCTCCGCACGTTGCCAAAGTTGTCCCTGGTGCTCTCGCCCGGGTACATGCCCATGGCTGGGACCCCTCCAAGCAGGTCCGTGGCGTCGTGGAGCCCCRTGGAGGAGGAGGCCGTGGAGGAGTTGTACACTTTGATCTTGAGGCTGGGCAGCGGGTCAAGCAGGGGCGAGTTGGTCATGGGGATCTTGTCGGAGGAGTCCTGCAGGGCGTACATGGGGCCGCGGTACATGCCCGCGCTGGCCGTCAGGTCCGGCTGCATCGAGGGGTGCAGCAGCTGCGGGTTGTCTGCAGGGACAGCGGCGGGACAGACATTGGATGATGGCATTAGCGGAGAGGAGGGGAGCTGAAACCACTCCRCTTAACTGAGAGGCAAACCTGGAAAACCCTCTACAGGTTTCATCAGAAGCCAATTCCTGTTCCACTCCTTCCACCTTTTCCCTGTTCCTCCGGATGATCAGACAGCCCTTAGGAGACACACAGGCTCCCTTCTTACCATGCCTGGAGGTCTTGAAGTTGACGGGGTGAAAGCCTCCGGTCAGAGCGGCAGACGAGTCCGTGATGTCCGTGTCGAAATCCCGGCACCTCCTCCGGTACACCACCACGCCGACAGCCATGAGGATCACGACGAAGACGAAAACAGCCACCACCAGCCCGGCGTACAGGGCCACATCACCCGTGGCCTCCAGCACTGGGAGAGGAAAGACAGAGGGAGCATTAGAAGCGCAAGCCTAGCCCCATCACTGCACACCAATGCGCTCACCGARTGCGGACACCAGCCCGAGGGAAGCGCTTGTGCTGGGTCTGCTGGAGACACCACAGTGGGATAGGGGAGGCAGAGCAAAGCTAGACAGCGAGGAGAGCGAAGTCCCCAAGCCCTGCAGGACACCTGGCCACACGAGCACAAAGCAGCACGAGCATTGAGCCTTTTCAGCAGGAACCCAACAACCACCACAGCTCATGCACGTGATGCTCTCCATCCACCCAGAGATCATCCATGCTACCTCCACCTCCATGAGGCCCTCGAGGGTGCCCTGCACGCTGCCATGGGGCAAAGCGCCTCGTCTACAGCGAGTGGCGGGGTCTGGACGTGCTCACTCGCACCGCTCGGCCCGTCCCTTCCAGTTGTTCCCCCTTCACCAGCACCTTCTTGTACCTATGGCTTCACGCTCGAGCACAACCCTGGCCTCAGCCTTGCGATCACGACCAAGTTCAGACTGCTTCCCTCCAGTGCATTCGTTCGAAGGGGGAACCTGCGCCAGCTTTGCCAAGCAGCTCACAAGCTCTTCCAAGGCAGCCCCTTCCCTCTGCTCGCAGAGCGGGGGACGCACCCTCTGCATCAGCCTCCTTGGAGGCCAGAAATGCCAGAAACGGGAATGGAAGAACCCAGGCCCTGATGCCTCCGGGGATGCCCAACTTGARGAAGATGAGGGTAACTCAGTAGGGCGTTTTGGGGGAGCAACAGGCAGATGTCCACAGGTTTCTCAGTTGGCATTCCCGAAGGCAGCAAGGGGCTTGTGACCTCTGGAGCACGAGGTGCAGTTTAATGCACAGAAAAGCTCAGAAAATGCACAGTTTCCAGCTCTCCTTCCCCAGGACCCGAGGGAGGATGAACCCTACCAGGGATGAAATGGAACCAAACCACACCAACGCATCCCAACGAAAGAGAATGGCCATGAAATGAGGACTTACGGTGGCTTTTGGGTTCGCTTAGAACTCTCTTATCTGTCAGGGAAAACAAAGTTAGAAAAGAGGCGGTGAAAATGGTGATGGTGGGATGGAAGCGAAGCGAAGTGCAGACCCGAGYGGACGCCGGGCGGGCGCGGAGCGCGGCGCGTGGGCACTCACTGTGCGCGCAGAGCCCGTCCGTGCAGTTCTTGGAGTCGAGCAGGCCGCCGGCGCAGTCGCTGCCGCCGTTGCGGGGCGCCGGGGCGGCGCACTCGCGGCTGCGCCAGTGCGTGCACTCCGTGCTGCACGCCGACCACTTGCTCCACTCCGTCCACGCRCCGTCCACTGCGGGAGAGAGCGCGGCGAGCTTCAAGACCCGCTCCTCACCTCCGCAGCCGCGCGGCACCACGAGTCCCACCTACCTGGGCACAGCGTGGTGCAGGTGATCTTCTGGAAAGGCTGCCCGTCGCAGAAGGAGCCGCCGTTGAGCGGCGCCGGGTTGGTGCAGGTGCGCGTGCGCTTCTGCCAGCCCCGGCCGCAGCGGTTGTTGCAAGGAGACCACTCGGACCAGGTGGACCAGCCGCCGTTCACTGGAGGGGAAGATGGAGAGGGTCAACACACAGAGTGTCGCCTCAAGCCACAGCCACGCGGATAAGGGGGCCCGTTCCGACAGGGAAGCTTGAGGATGGGGCTAAGTCTACAGTCCCTCTGTCCTCCCATCTTTGCCGACACCCTGGAATGATCCACCCCCTGCAGAAGCAACTCATGAGGCTCCTCCACAGCTCGTGCACCCCATGCACAAGACAGCCAAGCTCAAGCCTTCTTAATGCTCTTTTTTTTTTCCTCATGCTACACATATTTTTTTGGTTCTCAAAAGCTTCTGGCAGCACCAAAGGGGGACATAGACCTCACCGTAGACGATGACGGCGGCCGTGGTGCTCCGGCGCTTGGCCACGATGTTCTTGGCCATGCAAGTGTAGTTAGCGGTGTCCAGGAGCCGGGCCTGCTTGATGATGAGGTTGTGGTCGATGGTGATGAGGAAGTTGGTGTCCTGGCTGGGGTCGATGACGTCCTCGTTCCTCAGCCACTCCACCTGCCAACGGAGAGCAGGACATGGGGCAAGGCTCAGCGGGGCAAGGCTACGTGACAGAGCGTCCCTGGTGGTGGGAAGGGCGCTCACCTCGGCCTGCGGCACCCCCTCGGGGGGCCGGCACTGCAGCAGCACCTCTTGCTCCAGYGGCACCTCCTTGCCCAGCGGCTCCTGGTCAAAGTTCTTCCTCAGGTCTGCGGAGGAGAAACCCAGCGGTCACTCCACAAAACCTCAGTGCGACGGAGCGAGGYAGGATGGAGTAAGGGATATTCCCCGGGAATAACACGGCCATCCCATGCCTCCCGGAATCACTAGGTGGTGCTGCATGCCTCCTGCTCGGCTGCACGGGAAGCCGCTTGCTGGCGGCAGGACCAAGAGCGACGCTTACACGCTATGCGGACGTACGCCCGGCGGCTCTTGGTGGTGCCCGCGGCGCTCCAGGCCACGCACTGGCACCAGTAATCCTCGAGGCCGAAGAGCTCCTCCACCTGCTGCCGCGACACCTCGATGTGCACCTCCCGCACGAGCAGCCCTGCGGGAGACAGAGCGTGAGACGGGACGCGTCCGGCGCATCCCGACGGTGCCGTGACGAGGGACGGGGACGCGCGCTTCCAAACCGCCCCGTTCCCAACGCGCCTCCCGACAACGCTCACCGGTGAGCTCGTCCAGGCTCTCGGTGGTGACGTGGTCGTTCTGGTTGACCCACTCGCCGTTGCACTTGAAGTAGATCTGCGTGGCGGGGTTGGCGCGGCAGGCGAGCGCCACGGGCTTGTTCTTCACGATGTAGGCGTCCTGCGGCTCCAGCGAGAAGCGCGGCAGCAGCTCCGCCGGCGCCGACGGGAAGGAGTCGGGAAGCGCATCCCGGTACTCCAGCCCTGCAGGGAGACGGGGGGAAGCACCGTGAGCCTCAGCTCTTTGCTTGGGTTCATCCCTCCCTCGCTTGGATCGCGGCCTCTCGGGAGGCGTCGGGAGAGACGGCGCCAAGGAAGCATGAGGAGCGCTTGGATCTTTCCCACTGCACAGGGACACGGAGGCGGCTTCCAGGGTGGTACCCGCGAGCATCGCCCGGCGGGATGTGGGATGCAGGCAAGGCCAAACAGTAACAGCGCCGCCCGTTTTAATCCCGGGGGATTATCCGCAGCATCTGCTCCCCGCGAGCCCTCTGCCCATGTTCACAGCCAGCGCATCCCGCGCGCACRGCGGCGACAACCCGCACCCCCGGGCCAGCACGAGGACGCCCCGTTCCCGCGTTATCCAAGGAAAGCGGCCCCTTCCCAAGGCTCCCGGCCCGCGCGGCGGCCGCCCCTGGGGGAAAGCGTCAAAATCCGCTCCCCTGCCGCCGTTATCCCTGCGAACACGCGCGGGATTAGGGCAGCATTAGCGGCCGCGCCGCTCGCATCCCTCCCCGCGAGGATTAAGCGCGCGGGCAGGAGCGCCGTCCCCGCGGGCGGCTGATGCAAACCCGGCTCTGAGCATCGCTCCGAGTGTATATGATAACTATAGGGGCTTTATTTATTTGCTCTGGCTCGCACGAGGGGGAAAAGCGGAGCACCATGGCTCAGTTGCAAGGGGAAGAGTCAGTTCTGCAAGGGGGAAGACAAGAGGGGAATCAGAGAGGGACTTGTTGCCCCACCAAGTCCAAGAAATGACTAGTTGWCTAGTTACCCCTCACCGTGTTGCTACAACACTATCATATCCATCAAAAAAACAACAAATACACAACAACAAAAATAGGCACCAGGACACCGGGGAAAAAAAAAGACTCATCCTGCCCCAAATTGCCCCCGAGTTCAGCGGAGGGGGAGGAACCGTCACGAGACCTGCTGGGTAAGACCCAGTTTATTCAACTATCTTTAAAGCCGCCCTTAATCTTCCAGATTTGCTGCTCTGGTCAGAGAGGAGGGAGAAAAAAAAAAAAAAAAAAAAGAGGAAAAAAAGAAAAAAAAACCCCAAAACAACAACGTGCAAAGGCTGAAAACATTTTTTCCGCTGTCCTTTCTCTGCCCTTTTCTTCCCTTCTCGTTTTACAGCGACAACGGGGGACACGTGGGGAGAAAGCGAGGGGGAGGGGGAAGAGGGATGGAAAGAGGTTTAAGGCATAAAAAAAGGAGAGGAGAAATAATCCCTGCTGCTTTGGAATACCAAATATTAAGATTTTTTTTTCCCCTGCCCSCCATGCTTCAGCGCTTTATCCTCGCCCACTAGAGGAGAAAAGCATCGGGAGGGCATCGGCTTAGAGGAAACGGCTTCCGCGCCCCCTTCTCTTCCTTGGGATTTAATCCTCGTGCCAGGGAGCTGCAGGTGGGGAGCCCTGACACGAGCAGGCCAGTGCTCAGCCCAGCACTACATATAGATGATATAGATGATATAGATATAGATATGGACCAAGTGGCCAGGGCTGGCACCCAGCCCGTGGCACTGGTTTTCCAGGCGGGATTCTCCCTCTGCTCCGGAGCGAGGTGGGACGGCCGCGCACCCAGAGCACCTTCCTGTCCCACCATTGAGAACTTCCACCTTTTGAGAGCTCTTTTCTTCGCCGCGCCGCCGACGGTGCCGCGCTGAGCAAGCCCTTCCACCTTTTCTTCTGCCCCGTTTCGCCTTCCTCCCTTTGTTCCCGGGCACAAAACCCACGGAAAAGCCGGGAACAGGTTTGGCCGGGCAGGTGGTATCACCAAGAGCACCTGCCTGGGATCAGCATCCGCATCCTGGGCTTATGGGGACAGATGCCAGGACGGAGGGACACGCAGGAGCCCTTAGCTCTCCAAGGAGCAGGATGCTGCTCCCTGGCCTCCCTATATTGACTTTAGGGAGTCAATATAACCCCGGAGGGACCGAGGAGGCTCCTCTCCTTCAGCATTGCCATAGGTTGCATCACTGCCAGGGCCTCCTGGGGGACATTCCCGCTGCTCCAGCCTCCCTGCTCCACGCGGAGGAGAGCGGCCAAGCGAGGCAGCCTAGGACGGGAAGGTAAAACAAGGGCAACTTCCTCCCGGAGCCGGCCGGGATATTCCCACCGCGTCTCCGGGAGGAAAATGCCCGGCGGCCCGTGGAGAGAAGACGTCATGTGGGAAAAGGAGCCCCTGACAAAAGCGGCGTGCGAGCGTGGCTGTGTGCGGGGCCACCGCGAGACAATAGTGAATAGAGCGYGGATTATGTATCCTGAGCTGGCGGCCCCCTGGGAATCGCGTTGGAAAAGCCTTTTTTTTTTAAAATTATTATTATATTTTGCTCGCCGGCCAAAACAAACAAGTACATAAAGGGCCGAACGCGGAGGAGCCAGGCAGGAAGTGAGGAACATCTGGGAAACATCTGGCCGCGGCTCTCCCACGTGCCCGGGGTACCTGCTCCCGGTTCCGTGCGTGAGACACGGCATCCATGTCCTAGGCACTACGTATTCCACTTGAATCCCCACAAAAATGGGTTTTTACATTTATAAGGGGTTTTCGCCTCTTTCGACGCACGATAAAATCACCTCCAATGGGAGCATTATTTGCAACGGGATTGGGGAGAAGGACACTCCTCTGCATGGAGGTCCCATCTCCTGGGAAGAAAAATGATCTCTCGAGCATAGACATCCTTCCCACCAGGGCATGGACCACTTTGCATCCATGCACYGCTCCAGCATCCGCAAGAAGCCGTAAAAAATGATCGCACTGCAGCTCGCGGCCCTTCTCTTTCTCCAACTTTTCTCCTCTCATTTCTTTTTAATGCTCGCCCCGGAGGAAAGGCATCAAATATTAACGTGGGACACTTTGGAGAAGTCGCGCCGGATCCTAGGGGCTCCGCATGATCCCGAGTGGAAGCGCGATCCCGCTCGTCCATCTCCGCGCCGGTGCCTCACAGTGCATGGTCAGTCAAGGAGGAGGAGGAGGAGGAGGAGGATGAATGAGCCTCTTCTCTCCTTATCGGCGGCCTGGGGCTCTGGCGGGGAGGCTGCTGATAAGGGCAGCGGTGCTGGCGCCAGGCGGGATCCTTATCTGCCGCCGAGCAGGAATGCAGCCCCCGGGACCCCCGGTGCGGGATGCGGGCCGGGATCTGCGGAGCCATCCTTCCAGTCGGGCCGTGCAGCCTTCGCTCCCTGCCTTGCATCCAGTTATGGGGGTATTTAAACAAATAAAGGGAAAAAAAGAAGGCAAAAAGGGAAAAAAAAGAGGGGCAAAAAGGGGAAAAAAAGGGGGGCAAAAAGGGAAAAAAAAAGGGGGGCAAAAAGGGAAAACGGGATGATGAAGTCACCGGCAGCAGGCCTATGTGCCCAGGCAATGCCATGGCAGGTACCGACTCGCCTAATTAGCGAGCAGCCTAATTTAAAAGCAAGGCACTCGCCTTATTTCTCCGCTGGCGGCGGCRGCGCCGTGGCCTCCGGCGGGATGGGAAGGCCAGCGCAGGCACCCCGGGGTTGTCAGTGTCCCCCTGCAACAAGGGCCTCCCGGTTCCTCTTTGGGGAAGGGAGAGCTTGGGGAGGATACGTAAAATGAAATGAAAATCAAGGGGAGCACGAGCCTGGCATTGAGCGGGCCTGCAGAAACAGCACCCCGTTTCCCCGTGCTTGTCACCCCCATGCCACAAGGATACAATAAACAGGGAAACAAGGGGGAAAACAGGCTGTCAATAAACTGTCCTTAGGAAAACATCATCATCCGGGCTAATTAAAAGAGTCTGAGCGCGGCTGCTTCTCATTAGAGGCCCCAGGTAGAGCTTGGGGCTGGCCCCATAAGTTGTATTYTACTTAGTCCGGCTCCGGTGCTCCGGCTCCGACACCATCCCCTGCTTTGCTTTAAGGAGCCTCAACGAGCAAACATGAAGGAGAAAAAAAAACTGAAAAAACACACATTATTAGCCGGAAAAAAAAAAAGGAAGAAAACCTATTACTGCAACCCTGCACGTCCCCAGGGCTTTAGGGGTGAGAACTCTCCTGCAACACAGCGCACTGAGTSAATGCCTTCCTCAACAAGCATTTGTGCAGTTTAATTACTCCAAAAATAATAACAATAATGGTGCCTAATGCCTCTCCGGGCATGCAGGAGCAGTTCCCCCCTGGCTCTCCGGCGTTTCTCGCTCCTCCGCGCGGGCCAAATTCCTGCTGCTCCTGCCCAAACGCACGGAGCGCAGGGGCTCCGTGGCCACGCCGGCCCCAAGGGGCTTCTTCACGGCCGCTTCCTCTTATTCCTTTGCTCCCAAATCAGGGGCATTTGCCCCGTCCCGGCAAGAAGAGGAACCCGGAGCTCAGCAGCACTAGACCAAGTGGTTGGCGCAGCCAGCAATGATCTCAGCCACGAGGCATCGCGAGGGGCAGTCCCATTCCAGCTTGAAAAATAGAGCATTTCCCCCTTTTTTTTCCTTCCTCCCTGCTTTTCTTTCCCTTTCGATCCAAGCGGATGCCCTTCCCCTGCATCCCGGCTGCATCCCGAGCAAACAGGCCGCTGCGGAGCACCCGGCGGGACCGGTCCCGACACGCCGGCGCGCTCGGGGCCCACTCCGGAGCGAGTCGCCCCGCTTTGCATAACCAGCCCAGCCCGGCGTCGCCTTTCAAAGCCCGGCTTAGTCACCACGCCGAACCCAGCCCTCGCCGCTGCCCAGATCTGGAAAAGCAAGATCCAAAAGCCAGCGCAACTACTTCTATTATTATTATTATTATTATTATTATTACTATTATTATTATTTCTTGTGTTATTGTATAAATGTTAGGGGCTGGGTGCTACACCTCAAGCTCGCACAGACGCCCGCCTACCCGCTTTTAAAGCTGCGCTTTACGGGTGGCAACGCGGAAGCTGCAGGCCGGGGATAACTCGCGCGGCGGCTCCTTCCATGCAAAACCGGGAGCCCCAGGTTATCCCCGCACGGTATTTTTAACATTCACCACCCACGCGGACGCCTCTACCAGCATTTCTTGCTTGGCCACTACAGAAACTGCAGCACTAAACCTCTCCTCCCGAGCAGGCAGCCCGCACACCGAGAAAAAATAAAAATAACCAGAAAAGAAGGGAGGAATTGCAGAAAAAGGGGAGCGGACGCTTGGCCTCAGGTCAATGACTATTTTTAAGGGCAGCGCAGTTGGGTTTCATCTCGCCCCCACGCTGCCCGGCCCAAGGAGGGGGYGGCGGGCGCTCCGAAATAGCTCCGGTCCCGCGCGAAGAAACCCGGCAGCGCCAGCCAGCAGCTGGCAAAAACACCCGGCCCTCGGGCTCCGGCGGGTATTTTCGCCACGGGGAGGGGTATTTTGGCCACAGGGGCGGGTATTTTCGACGCAGGGTGCTTTGGGGCCACGCGGCCCAAAAGCTGCCGCTTGGGCACGGCTGTGGAGGAGGGTGGCAGGAGGGACCGGATTTGGGTCCTTTTTGGGTCCTTGGCTTCCTTGGAGCCCRGCTTCTTGCTGGGTTGGCAGTGGTGAGGAAAAAAAGCAGGAAAAAAAAAATTAAAAAAAAAAAAGAAAGAAAAACAGAAAACAAGCTGGATTCCTCCCCCAAGAGCCACTTTCTGCCTTCTTCAAAGTGGTATTTTTCCATTTCTCTGCTTTCCTCTGCCCCCTCTCAATAAAAAAAAAACCAAAGTTACTTCTTCCTGCCACCGTCACGTGGAGAAACCTGCACCTAAAAAAAGCTGCTGTAACCAAGAAGCCAAAGGACGAGGGCAGGGAGGGGAAGAGACAGGAACAGCAGAAGCAACAGGTCCCCAGGGCCACCTCCTTGAGCGAGGCCAGGAAGCCCAGGAAGCATCGGGAGCAGGAACAGGAGTCCTGGGAGAAGCGGGGGCCTCGGGAAGGGGGGGGTCCCCCCTTTTCTTTTGCAGGGGAGCTGCACCTCGCAGTGTGCATCGCTTCCCGATGCTCCCGGCGTGGGAGAGACGGGCACCCTCGGGAGCTCGCGTGACGAGTTGTTTTCTCACCGAGCGGCTCGGCGGGGAAGGAGCTGGCGCCGGAGCCCCGATTCCCGCAGCAAAAGAGSGGGGAAAAGCATCACTCGCGGGGCACGTATTCCAAACACACTCCGAAGAGGAGCCCGGCTCCAAGCGCCGCTCCTCTCCCTATTGCCAAACAGCACGGCAAATAACAGAGAGCACCTCTGTTATTAAATATAATGATCTCTCGCTCGGCAACGTCCCTCCCTCCTTAATGCCAGGCGGGGACGTCTCTCTCCCGAGCCGTCACCCTCGCTCCGCTCGGCACAAATAAGGTTTTCCTGCTCTTTTTTTTCCATCCCCCCGCTCCAGCCCAGCTGGCGAGCGGCGCTGCCACGGCGGCCGCTCCGCTGGGAAGTGAATGAGGCCATTGCCATTCCCGGCTGGCGGAGCACACTGGAGCTTTGTATCGCCAAGGCGGCCAGGAGCAAAGCAAGAAAATATATATATATTAATCCAATTAGAAAACAACCTCCCTCCCCGAAATTCCTCCTCGCCTTAATTGCACTTCAGAAGCAAAGGGCTTGGCTCATTTTCCTAGGAAAGCGGCTTGTCAGGAGATGCCTTGAACTGCCAGCGCAACAAAATCCCCGGCTCGGCGGCGCCTTCGCGGCCCTGTCACATGTCCCCGGGCCACGGGCAAGTGGCCCCGGAGCGCCYGTGTCCGGAGCGACGGCCTCTTCCAAACTCCGGAGCCGGCAAACTTTACGGGTCTTGGCTAGAGCGGAGGATGCTTTATTTACCCGGGTGTAAACGAAGGCGGTGTTAATGAGCTGCAGAGGAAAAGCGGGTGGTTTGACGGCGGCGGCCCTACCGCGAGAGCAGGGAGGACGGACGGATGCTCCTCCACGGGCAGCCGAGCGCCCGTGGAAAACTTTGGAAAAACGCCCTGAAAACAGCGCTCAAACCAGCGGCCGGGCGCGTTGCGAGAAAGCACCCGGCCCAACGCCAGGCTGAGGGGASTGAAAAACGGGGTGTTTGGGGCGAGCGGGACCCCGGGCGCGACCCCGGCGGGGAGGCCGGCGGGGAGGTCGGCGCTTACCTGCGGCGCGGAGCGGCGCGGCGAGGGCGAGCAGCGTGGGCAGGAGGGCGAGCGGCGTGGGCAGGAGGGCGAGCGGCGTGGGCAGGAGGGCGAGCGGCGGGCGGGCTGCGGCGCGGCGCGGCATG